TCTCTCATGGCTTTGCCTCCTACATGCTGGCAACCTTTCTGGAGTTGCCAGCTGCCTGTCAGACACAATCTGTCAATAACCTAGTTCTCAAATTCTACATGTCAAAACATGCCATTTCCTCACTAAACCTATACCTGCTCCTTCCCCGAATTCCAGGGGGTGACCCCACTATTTACCCTATGGTAACCCAACGCGAGAATTGTACAAATCAACCTTGATCCTTTCTCTCCCCTCAACAGTACAGATTAATGTTTAAGCACACTGGCTCCAAAGAAAACAATTCCATTCACAGAGCAAGAAAAATAAAATACTCAGAAATAATTTCAAGAAAAGACGTCCAAGATATATACTAAAACTACAAAACATTGCTGAGAGAAATTAAAGAAAATAAAAATACATGGAAAGATATTCTATATTTATGGATTGGAAGACTCATATTTTTAAGATGACAATTCTTCCAAAATTGATCTGTAGATTTAAAACAATACCTATCAAAATCCCAGCATTTTCCCCCAGGAATTGATAAGGAGGTTCTAAAATTTACATAAAAATGCAAAGGACCCAATAGCCAAAACAATTTGGGGGAAAAAAAAGTTGGAGACTATGTACTTTAGGGGAAAGTGTGGTCTTTTAACAGAATGCTGAGACCACTGGATATCCACATGAATTTAGACCCTTACCTCACACCATATGCAAAAATTAATCTCATAGACTGAAATGTAAGAGCTAACAGTATAAAAGTTCCAGAATAAAACAGGAAAAAAATCCTTTGTGACCTTGGGTTAGGAGAGAAACAATACTAAAAGCGTGATCCTTAAAGAAAAAAATTGAAAAATTTGACTTCATTAAAATTAAAAACACTTGTTCCTTAAAAGGCATCATTAAGAAATTGAAAATACAAGTCACAGACTAGCAGAAAATATTTGCAAATCATGTCTTACAAAGGACTTGTATCCAGAATACAGTAAAAACTCTTACTATGACTTAAGAAAACAACACAATTTTAAGTGAGCAAAGGATCTGAACAGACATTTCACCAAAGAAGATATACAAATGGCCCATAAGCACATGCAAGTATGGTTGAGATCATTAGCTATTAAAAAAATACAAATTAAAGCCACAATAATATATCATTTCACACTCACTGGAATGGCTATAATAAACAAAACAAAACAAACAATAAGTATTTATGCTACTGGTGGGAATGTAAAATGGTGCATTTTGGAAAAGTCTGGTGGTTTTTCAAAAAGTTAAACATAAACTTACCATAAAAGCTGGCAATAGCACTCCTAGATATATGCTCATGGAAGTGAAAACCTGTGCACACAAAGACTTGAACACAAATGGTCACAACATGCAGACAGTCCAAATGTCCATCAGCTGGTGAGTGAATACGCACACTGTGATACAGCCACACAATGGAATACGATTCAACAAAAAGGAAAGCACTGATACATACAACATGGACAAGCCTTACAAACATTATGTAAATGTGAAAGAAAGATGCAAATATAAACCACACATTACCTGATTCCATGTTTATGAAATGTCCAGAAAAAGTGAACCTGAAAGATAAAGTGGATTGGTGGTTGCCTGAGGATGGGGGCAGGAATGGAGAAGGAGTGCAAATGGGCATAAAGTATCTTTTTGAGGGGATGGAAATGTTCTAAAATTGGGCACAACTCTGTAAATTTCCTAAAAAATCATTGAAGTGTACACTTAAATGAGTAAAATGTTACGGTGGTTACATTACTCCTCCTATGGGTGGGGGGCGGGGGGCGGGTAGCACAGGCTCTGGATTCAGATCACTTGGATTCAAGTTCTGGCTGTTACCTACCACTGTGTCACTAAGTTTCTTCAACCCATTTGTGTCTTAGTTCTCTCATCTGCTCACTGGGAATTACGATAGTACATACACCATAGAGTTGTTGGAAGAATTAAATGAGTTAATATGGGTAAAATGCTTAAGCAAGGACCAGACACATAGTAAGTATTCAGTAACATTAGCTACTTTTCTTATGATTATTATGATGACATTCAAGCAGTTATTAAGTTTTGCCCATTTTACTTAGTAATTAGTTTCCAAGTTAATCACCTTTTCTTTGAAACTTCTTCCCTGGCCTTCAGCACTGTATCACCTTTAGAAGAACACTTCCTTACTTCCTCTAGGCTTGTTCCCTCACAGCTAGCCTCCAGCACTTCTAGGGGCCACACAGGTAAGGTAAACATACCCAGGGAAAAAGCCACCTCCAGGACCAAGTTCAATGGCATACAAGGCCCTCCAAAATCTGGTCTCTCAAAACCACACACCCACACATCAAAGTGGCAAACTTTCCCCCACAGACCATGCAGTTGCTCATGCCACCCTGGGGAGAAATGCCCCCTTTCCCTCCCTATTTTCTGTCCTCTCAAGAATCCTCCCAGGCTCAGCTGAGGCATCTCCCCCACAAGCTTCCCCAATCCTTTTGATCGGTGGCCTTCTGTGCCTGTAAGAGTCACCTGTGCGGGTTTCCAACACTGACTGGAGACACGGATTATAAAACACGTCTCTGCTATTGAAATATGAGTCCCTAGGACAGCTAGTCCACTGTGGTCAATGAAGTGCTGACTGGTCAAGCGACTAAAGCATTTTCTCAGCCCCTCACATAGAGAAATGCATGCAGGCTTCCAGACAACGTAGGCCTTTGTTTAGCATGTCACTTGACAAAAACTAGAGGTTGTCTAGGGAAATGGAAAGCTTAACAGGGCACTAGCTATTTTGTACAATTGTTGCCAGCCCTAGTGAGAGACATTACAGGGTCATGCTCCTTTCCATCAGAAGACATTTATACTTCCCACCACTGTCAGTTCATCAAAACTTACAGAGATTCCTGGTAATGTTCATCTTTCCAGTGGAATTTTTCCTAACTTACTCAAACTGACCTGTTAAAAATATTTGCGACAGCTCATAGTGAGAATATAAGACAATCAACTTTAAAAGGATTTTTGGAAATAGCTTAACTGACAGAAGGGAGGAAAATACAATCACCTGATACCTGGGATCCACCCCAGCCATTCTGATTTAAGGGGCCTAGGGTAGGAACCAAGGAGAACATTTTTTAAAAGTTCCCCCGAAAATTCTAAAGAGCAGCAGGGGTCAAGATCCACTCCTATGAAATCTAAAATTTGCTCCTTTCTCAGTGTTCTCATCTATGAAATGGTGACACTTATCCTTAGATTTAAGGTTAACTGAAACTCTTTCTGAAGGTACAAATCATAAATACATTTTAAATAGAATCCTTCTTCCTAATCACAACCCCTTGATTATAAAAGTAAAGTTTTATTATTAAAATCACCTTGTCCATAAGCATTAGTATCCATATTAGAAACGGACATGTACAATCCATTAAAGGACAATTAAAACAAAACAACAAAATCAGATCTCAAAACCATAGTCTTAACCTACAATTAAGAGCATACTAAAATAAAGTGCGAGTATAAAAGATAATCGAGAGCACTAATATTTCCATAAGACTAAGGTTGGGTGTGCTGTGAATAAGTCCCTATTTCTGGACATGGCATGTTTTGCTCTAATCATGAAAATAAAAGAGATCTCAGCAAAATATTGAGGAGGTACTGTTTTTGTGCCTGAATCATAATAGGTCCTGAGAGGGGGAGAGAGAGATCTTGAGATAACTGTAGGCATTAAACTCAATCTTCAAGTTACACTAAGTATGATATAAAATCTTCTTAAAATGAAAAAAGTTAAAACAATCATTCTGTAAACATCCATTTTTCTTCTCCAGAAATGTCCTATTGACTAAATTTTTTTTCCCCCAAGAAACACTCTTTGATGCTGAGGGTATCAGGACATGCTACCCCAAAATATGCCACTTTGGCATAAGAAAAGTTTTCAGCTGAAGGCATTTGAGTTCCCAAAATCCCTTATCTGTCTAAAGCAGAACCTCCCCAAAGAATTCAATAGTCATAATCCCCGCCCTGGGCAACTCTCATCTCTTCTGGCACCACAACCAGACTTGTCACAAACTATCATATCTCTTGTTTATTTCCAAAAGGCCTATTTATTTTCCAAAAAGTCATTTACTTTTCCACAAGGGCCTTTCTCCCTCTCCCTTCCCCACTAAGTGAGGTACCTTGACCCACACCTGCCCTTCTAAGATACTCATCAATGGATCCTCTCATCAGAGTGCAGGATGCAGATGTCAATAAACTTGTTTTTTCCTTGTTCACCTGTCTTTTGTCAGGGCCTGGCCAGAAAAGCTAGAAAGGTAGGCAGAAAATATTTTTTTTCCTCCCTACAGTTGATATCTGATTTTACATATATCTCCCAGCTTTAAAAAGCTGTCATTAAAAAAAAAAAAATCCTATTAAAAAACATAAGCATCGGAAAGAGTAAAGTTTAACAATCCTTTGAGACTATGGTTCTAGTTTCTTTAAACTTTCAAACTAAAGATTAAGAAAATATATAAAAACTATACCAAAGTGCTTAGTGTTTTAGGCAAAACTGCTATGAAGACTTTAACAAAACATTTACACCAAGTACATGCAGTTACAGAGTAAAATCAGTCTTCACAGCATAAAAATTCTTACCAAATGTTTTTCATAAATATATTTTAACCCACTTTACCACTATTATTTCATATTTTATCATTATTTAATTATTTATCTTTAGTGAAAGATAAATCTGAAAGCGTGAAATTGTATGGTGGCAAAACAACTTCAAATAGAATTTTCCTACTTGAAAACCTACCACAGCTATACATTATAATGGGGAAGACTAGAAATAATACCTTATTGCTATTAATAATGGCAGATTACATAAAATAAAGGTGCTGTAATTCTAAACACAGTACTACTGGAAATTAATAACGCATGTAACATAGAACTTGAGTATATAAAGCCATGTCAGCAAACACTGGCAGTATCTACTCAATTAGAAGAGAGTTAGCTTTAGAAGGCTCAGGGATGCAGCACTTCTGCCATATGAAAAAAAAAGCACATAAAAGACACAAAACAAAATATATGTATTACTTTTAGCATGTTAAAAACAATCACATCAAAAAAAGTATACAGATAAAAAATGTCATAGATGACATAAGAAAATAGTGTGTGTGTATACATATTTTGCATACATACATATATATATAAATCTACAGTTATTTACCACTGTTGATATATAGATTTTGGAGCAGCTCAGATGCTGCTATCATGAACTAAATTGTACAGCTTGATTTATTACAAGTCACAGAATCATGATTTAAAAATTAGAATTAATGTCCTCAGCTACATTTTTACATACATTTATGTCCAAGCTTCACATGATCTGAATCAAGAGCCCAGTGACGTCAGGATTTTGTCTGAGCTTCCGTGTAGTGCTCACCTGCTAATACACTGCGTTTGTTTTGTCATTTAATAACATCATTACCAAGGTGATTAAGATTACATTAGACTCATTATATACATAAAAATTATTGTCACATTCACTAGCTAAACAAATGTTACTTTCATTTTAAAAGACATACTTCTGTACCTTGAAAGCTTAAAGCCACAACTTGTAACGAGAAGAACCCTCAACGTTAGGTTTTCCACTCTATTGTTCAAATGTGAACAAATAATGTTGAAAACAAGCTCTCCAATTAAACACAAAGTCATATTTTCTTGGCATGCTCCAAACTTTGTCAGTGTTTTGGTAACTGTAGTGTAAATAGAATATTGTAAAAGACATTGCTAATTTTTTTAACATGGACCTGAATTTTTGTCTCTGAAAAAGAAAAATATTTTTGAAATTATGAAAGTCACACTATTAAAAAAGAAAGGGCCATAATTCAGATCATTTTTACAATTTTACATGCTGATAATTTAATGGCCTAAGCGGCGGCAATATCCATTGACTATATTCTTGAAAGAAGAGAGTGCCAGGAAAAAGATCATGTAAAGGACCACCCAGCCCTTTGTAGTGAGGGGCAGAAGAAGCAACCATATTGCTAATCCTGCTTTCAAAGGAATTTCCGGGAGTGCGTTCTGCTGCCCCATGGGAACTTGCTGCCTCTCCCACTGACACCCACAGGAGAGCTGCAGCCTGGGCCACCGCATTCCCTTCACATCTGGCAGGAACATTCTGCTCTGAGCTTTGTGAGCAGGCCAGAGCAAGGGCGCAGAGGCACATGGATACTTACACCTGTGGCCTTCAACTTACTTTCACTACCACAATTTTTAAGCACCATTAAGTGGTTAGACTTTCCCTCCAATGTCTTTAATTTTCAGATTGAAAGAAAATGGCAGCAGAAAATGAGTATTCTGTGAGATCTGAATTAATCACCTCAAGGCAAACCCTTACGTCAATTTAGGATCTGGGTTAAAAAATATGAGGGGGTGTGGGGACTTGACTAAAAGACCAGTTAAAGAAAAAAAGGAGGATAAATTATTTCATGGATCTAGATTAAAGCAGGGTTTTTAATGTTTCATTAGTTCTGTGTTGAAGTGTGTATGTGTAGATGTCTATATCTATTTAAAGACACATACTCTACATAGAGCCTTAAAAATGTCTACTATTCATAGACAGTTTTTCAGTGCTTTGTAACATTACTCAAAGTAAAATGGGCTAATAGAGTAAAAGTGTTAGGTGTTGAGAAGTTATAAATGGAACTAAGTAGTTAATTTATTTTGTGTGCATCCCTAAATGCTATTGCTATGTTTCCACGGTAAATTAATAGATTCAGTGATGATGCAATTACAATGCTCATCTTCAGCAGCATCTACGTGGGGATGAAAACACTCCCATCTATTCTTATTACTAACATGAGAATTGTGCGAGTTGTTTACAATGGTACAAAATACTGCTTTGGCAATTACAAACATAGCAATGTTGATTCTGGGAGATTTCCACTCTCGTCTCCAGCAAGTATAGATGAATTCTCACAGCAATACCGATTCTTGAATAGAAAGTCCATCCCGCTTTCTGTAGTGATACACTGGAGTCGAGGGCCCTGAATACTGATACCCAGAGGAGCTGGCATCTTCTAAAGCCGGGGAAGTTCTATACCGCACTGGACCATCCACGGAAACTGGGGGGAGGCCATGGTCCTGAAAGTGTACATGTTGAAAGGCAGAATATTTTGTTAAATTGCTTAAGTGGCTACGGTTAGCATCCCGAGTCCATAACTGTTCAGGCATCTCAGGTCTGAATGTGTAACTGCCTTCTGACCATTTTCTGTTATCTGGCAAATAATCCACTGGAGGAATGAGGAATTTTCCATTCTTTGGTGACCCTGAATTGCCCGAATATCCCCCAGCACCAATATCAATGGGGAGAACTTCTATGCGACTAGATGGTAGGACAACAGGAGCTGGACGGCTGTGAGATTTCTCTGGAGAAACATTGATGGAAAGAGTGGAACCATGAGGTCTCCTGGGAGGATTCATTTGAGCCCCATGGCTAAACTGTGGTGACACAAAGCTGCTGTTATTGGTGGGGATGTGCTTTGGAGAATTTCCATGGTAAATAGGGGGATTGCTGTAAGATGGGGGGTGCACGGGCCCTCGATCTTCCCCATCTAGGTGAGCTGGATATTTTGCATAACTTGGAGGCTGCATTTTAAAAGTAAACTTGTTTGATACTTTTGATGGACTAGAACTTGGCTCAGGATGCTTCCTTGGACTGTGTGTGTAAACAATATTCCTCGGACTCTGAGAGTAAGCCCTTTCCAGTGCCTCTTCAACAGATGGGCCGTTTTCATTTTCAGGTACATTATCATACTGTGATGCATTCGAGCCCCGTTTCCCTTCATCGGCATCCCAGACCTTCATCTTCTGCCTTGCATTTGACACCCGAGGATCTGCAGAATTCGGGATGGTGACTGTAAGCGTGGGGTGTGCAAATCGACTCTTGCCTTCAGTGGCGTATCTGGCAGTTCTTTCAATAGCTGAAACATCTGATGGTTTATTCCATTTGGGCACAAATTCCTTCCTGATATTTGGAAGAGCATTGCTATTTTGGTTAGCAGATGCATGGTCATATTGCCTAGCATTGTCTTGTGGACCTGATGAAGGTTTTCTTTGAAAGTCTGCCTCATCTTTAAGCTTTTTACTGTCCTCCTCCACTGATGCCCGTCCTGGCTGCCTCGCTCTTTCTGGTGTACCAATTCTGCCTTGATGGTGAGGGGAATGCTCGGGCTTTCTGTGAGGCGATGAGCCACTCTCTCTTCTGATCTTATGGGGACTTGATCTGCCAACACTTTGTCCATTGCTCAGGTGACTAATGCCAGCAGACTGAGGTTCAGGTGGAAGCTGTCCCAAAGGTTTCTTTGGAAATTCATCCTCTTTACCTAAAGGAAAGATATACTTATGAGTAACATTAACACATGAGTAAACAGTACCAAATATAAGAACCATGCTATGAATAATTGTATACTTTTCATATGTGTACTCATACACAAGCACACAGAATTATAGTTACAAGAGAAGCACTTTTTAGAGAGACTGACTGTAAAACACACCAAAATTCAAAATCTTATTAGGCAATGTGCAGGTGGTGAAAATATTTTATAACCTTATGTGTAACACATGATTCTTATATTTTGTTAAGACATACTGTTACATGCTTTTTTTTTTCAAGAATGCAAGGCTGATAGTCTCATTTCTATTTCTAAAACAATCCTGCTGTTCAATGTCTTACCATCACCTTCACTTTAACTTACTTCAACTTAACATGGCTTTGAAATCTCAGTAAAACTTTTCTTATCAACTTCAAGCAGATCTGCCAAATTTAAAAGCCAACTGCGATCTAAAGTTGTCCCCACATAGTTTATTATTAAGCACCTTTCACCATATTACTGCAAAAAAGAAACAGTACTCTCTATTTTAAAGCTAATATTCTAAGAGGATCCTACTTTAGAAAAAAAAAAAAAAAGAAAAAAAAAAGGAAATCACATTGGGCACTTTTAGTTTTATATTTTACTAGAGGCCTGATGCATGAAATTCGTGCACTCGGGGGGAAGGGAGGGGTCCCTCAGCCTGGCCTATACCCTCTCACAGTCCAGGAGTAAGCTGGCAGTCGGACATCCTTAGCACTGCCGTGTAGGCAGGAGAGGCTCCCACCACCTCCACTGTGCTCACCAGCCCTGAGCCCAGCTCAGGGTTTCTGACTGAGCAGCGCTCCCCCTGTGGGAGTGCACTGCCCACTAGGGGGCAGCTCCTGCATTGAGTGTCTGCCCCCTGGTGGTCAGTGCACATCATAGTGACTGGTCATTCTGCCATTCAATTTGCATATTACCCTTTTATTATATAGGATTTTATTTTGTAGACAATATTCTTCTTTTTTTTATATATATTTTATTGATTTTTTACAGAGAGGAAGGGAGAGAGATAGAGAGTTAGAAACATCGATGAGAGAGAAACATCGATCAGCTGCCTCCTGCACATCTCCTACTGGGGATGTGCCCGCAACCCAGGTACATGCCCTTGACCGGAATCGAACCTGGGACCTTTTAGTTCGCAGGCCAACGCTCTATCCACTGAGCCAAACCGGTTTCGGCTATTTTGTAGACAATATTCTTAACCCAGCCTATTTCTGGTTTCTCTCAGTGCCCTCCTTCCTCAAAGCTGCAGTCTTCTGTGTTGTTGATGATGACAGTGATGCCAGAAATTCTCCATCAACTTGAGTTTCAGGTTGAAGTTTATGTAGGAACTTCTCAAAGTCATCTGCAACTTCGTAAGGTTTCTTGGTAGCCTTTGTTGGAATCTAGCAAGCTCTTTGTTTATTCTTTCCTGCTGCTATCTTAGGAGTTCATTAATTCTGTGCTTATCCCAGTCCCGCTGTGACCTCTTCTGTAAATCCTTGGTTATAAGATCTCTCTTCAGCTAGTCTTCAGTTGGTTATTCAGGATGATTGTCCTATATCTCAGTTGTACTTCCAGTCCGGTCCTGGAAGGAGATGAGTGTAGCTTCCATCTACTACTCTGCCACCATCTTGGATTGAGAGTTTTATGTTTTAAATAACTAACATTAGAAATGAATGAGGAATTAAAGGAAGGTGCAATAAATTTGCCATTTAGCAGACACTGTGTAAACATGACCTATTACAATACCAACAATCAATAAATATCATCTTGAAAAAAACAACTTGTAAAAATTCCATGATTTAAGATGTGTTTTCAGTAATTATTACAAAATATATTCTCCCTTAAAAATAAGCTGCTGCTCACTTCAACTATCCACTTGTTGTCCATCCAACAAATATTTATTGAGTAAGCTCTGCTTTGGGACTGTGCTAAGCAATGAATACATTAGTAGTGAGTAGGCAGACCTGGTCTTTGTTTTCATGTAGTTCATTGTTGATAAGGACAGTTTTGTTAGTTACCCACATATCTTAATTTTCTTTAAGACATTTGAAAAAATAGTCAATGAACTTTCCTTTGGGAGGGGAGGGTGCAGAGAATGTGAAGAAACAATATCCTTTAAATAGGTAAGCTGCCAGAATCAATTAAGCTAAAAAATAACCTTTGTGCTCTTCTAATTTGGTGGGTTTTTTTTTAAGAAACAGAGTTTTTTTCAAACCAAATTTCATATGAAACCCCAGTATATAAAGGAAATCTAAACAACGCTGCTCTAGTTGAAGTGGAGGGGCTCAGGTGCCTCGCCTCACCCTTTTTCCCACTTCCCTCAGCGGGGCAGCTTCTCAGAGATTTCCAACCCTGCCTGCATTTTATAGGCAGGAGAGCAGTCTTGGAGAAGCCAAGTGATCTTCGGGGGCAGGAAGAGAATGAGAACCAGGACCCAGCATTTTCACTCCGGGTCACTGTTTTCTTCCACTCTGCCATGTTCATTAAATTCTAGAGAAATTTTGGAATGGTTTTAACCAAATTTAATTTTACTTTGTCAATATTTGTGCAAGCTCTTTATTTTATACATGTGAAAGCACACAAAGTATTAGGATTGGGAATCGTTTGTTTCATTCATTCACCCATTCAACCAATAGCTATAGAGCAACTACTATGGACCAGGCACTCTCGTTGCTGGTGATGCACAAACAAAACAACAGGGTGAAGCCCCGTCCTATGGAGCTGCTATGCTAGTTGTGCAGGGCTGTGAGAACAGCACCAGGACAAGGCAATCACAGTGATTTGGGTGTGGCAGGGCAGAGCAGGGAGAGTCCCGGCAGGAACAAAGGTGCCTGTGCCAGGTGGAGAATGGCTGGGGACAATGAAGAGTCACATCACACAGGGCTTTGAAGACCACAGTAAGAACTCTGGATTTTTTTTCTTTTTCTGAGTTTACTATAAACTACTGAAGGCTTTTCAGCAGGAGAGTAACATGATCTGATGTCTATCTTATAAAGTTCACTTTGAAAGGTGAGTTGGACTTAGATTGTATAATAATTAATGAATGTAACAGTAATAGCTAACACTCATTGAGCCCTTATATGTCAACACTGCTCAAAAGCTATACATACAGTATCAGCAATAGGCATATAACATAGCTTACTACTACTGTTCTCATTTTATAGATGAGAAAACCGAGGCAGACGTGTCCTTGCCCAAGGGCTCATAGCTAGCCAGTGACAGATGGAGAATTCAAACCCAGAGCTGATTCCAGAGCCTCTTCTCTTTACACTTACACTAAGTGTGAGGGAAGCTGTGAGGAGAGGTTGCGCTAGGATATGCCTTAAGGCAGAGCACAGACACTCGCTCTTGTGCTAGGTGTGACCTGTGAGTGATGAGCGGAGTAAGGTATGGCTCCTGGTTTAAAGACAGTTAACAGCTCGGTGGGTGTTGCTCAGTGGTTGAATATCTACCTATAAACCAGGAAGTCAGGGCACATGCCTGGTGGCAGGCTCAATCCCTAATAAGGGGCATGCAGGAGGCAGCCAATCAATGATTCTCTCTCATCATTGATGTTTCTCTCTTTTCCTCTCCCTTCCTCTCTGAATCTATAAAAATATATTTAAAAAAAAAAGACAGCAACAACAGACAGGTATTACTCAGGAACAGTAGGCATACCAAATTGTTCTGTGTCTTTTCATAATGAAGACATTTTATAATAAGTGACAAATGATTATAAGTGATAGCCCAAATTTTAAAATGCTTGTCACTGGGAAGTTTCCTTTGTTCATGAATGCTGCGTGTAAAATAACCCGAAGTATTTCAGTTCAGCTCTGACTAGTCTCATAGGAAATACTGAAATCAGGGCAAGAGAGTTGACTCAAAGGCAGCCCAAGTCAAGAACTTTCATAAGTAGTTATCAGCCTTTCTGGTTAAAAACTAACAATAAAAATTAAAATCTATTTAGTGTCCCCAAAATGTTTTTATCAGCTCTCCAAATAATGATTCATTAATTCCAAATAAATATATGAATTCCTTCCTCCCTACAGGCAACTGACCCCAACAAACACAAATTATCAAGAAGATATAAAGACCTATGTAATAGAAAAATTGAATCTATGAATTTTCGTTTAGTCCTCACTCTGATCATTTTCTAAGGGCATGCAACGCAGTTAAGTGACTGGCTAAGTCAATGGCTGGTTGATATTCCTTCAGATAATAATATCAGTCAATCATCAAAACACCCTTTTCAGGTTGGTGTGTGGGAACCTGATGAAAAACATAACCATTAAAAAGAAAAGGAAAACAGTGGCACCCAGAGAGTGGTTAATTCGTGCCTGCAGATGCGCTGTTCCAGAGACAAAACTGGATCAGTTGTAGTGATCGTCATGCTGAGCCCTTTAAGCTGCCCTGCTCTCCAGCATTCAGTGGCTTTTAGCAGCCTGCAGAGAGAGCCTCGTGCATAGAAAATAATTTCAAATATATGTATTTTAAATTCTCCATACCAGTACTGTTAAGAAAAAAATAAAAGAATTGCTGCTGCAACTTGCATGTGTGCTCCCTAGAACTCAGGCTGTTGGTGAAAGCTTCTCTTAGTCCAGACTGTGGCTACTCAGACTGTTTTCCCACCTGTACAAATTCACAACTCATGAGACCAAATCCACTTGGAACTGGATTTTTCAAAGATTAGCTAACTACTGTAGATTGAATGTCTGTGGTCCACCTCCGCCCCCGAATTCATATATTGAACTCTCAGTGTAACCTTAATGTAATGGCATTTGTAGGAGGGGCACTGGGAGGTAATAAGGTCACAGGGTAGAGAACACATGATGGAATTAACATACCAACACACTCAGAGTGGAGTACAGATAGGGCCTCAAAGAGAGGTGTGATCTGCCCAGTGTTCACCTCCCCGCCTGCAAAGGCTTCTAAAAAGTAGCCATGTTGCACCACAGGGACTGTAGCCCTCAAGGTTCCTGAGTTGTGGTCAGTAGTGAGGTGAGGGG